GCTTACAAGGCAATCAGGTCATCATGCATCCAACAACCAAACCCTCAGTCTCGTAACAACTTAAATTGTAGTTGGATGAGTGTTAAATCTGGACTGAAAAAATCAGATTGCTTTCTCCCTTCTTCCTTCCTTTTTCCCTTGTGATATTTCCTGTTTGCAGAGTATTGACGTGAAGTGAATGGGAGAAATAAAATAAAATAAAATGAAATGAAATGAAATGAAATGAAATGAAATGAAATAAAATAAAATAAAAATAAAATAAAATAAAATAAAACATAAAATAAAGCAAAACATAAAATATAATTATAAAGGAATATATGGTAGTCAGTTTAATTTTCTGTGAGATAACTTTCCCCAAAACATGGCTCACACATGTAGCTGCCCATGCAGTACACTCTCAGAACATGGGAAAGGGAGAAGCTATGGAGGGTATGGGCTACCTGTATAAGAAGCCTTGATACAGAACATATTGTTCCATGCTACTTGTATGTGGAAATGTCTCAGTGAGTGATAAACCATTTGCAGCCAGCAGTACAGATATCACCATACACATCTGCACAATTCAATTTCCATTCTGCAGAGGGAAAGGGTTTAACATACCACCGTTTGTACCATTGCAACAGTGGCAAGATACAGTTTTTCACACCAATTTCTTCCTTTCATTTTGTGATTATGCTCCGTGTATGTTTGTGTGTGACACAGATTGAGATGCATGGGAAATAACTGTAGTACTCCTCGAATTTTTACTGTTTCCTTTATTTATCAGTCCTTGGGGGATTTTCTACCATGAATTTGTCCTGTCATGATCTAAACAGCAAAATATTAACGTCTCCTTTCTTTGTATCTGAAAAGGGGACATGATATTATTCATTTGTTCCTGTAAAACGTACTTAGACTTTTGGCAGCTAAATGCAAACATCTTTCACTCTTGTAGATGTACAACATCTTCCCATACCTTGGATTCCTCCTGAGGGCCAACAAGACTCTTCTCAAAAACAGAGACGAATTCCATGCTTATGTAAAAGTGACTTTTCTAGAAAATCTCAAAACTCTGGACAAAAATGATCAAAGAAGTTTCATTGATGCATTCCTTGTTAAACAGCAGGAGGTAACTGAATCTTTTTTCTTCAAACTTTCATGCTTTTGTGAAGTCCTTCACAATTTCCTTTGAGTGCTAATAACCACAGCTTGCTTTCTTTGGCAATTTAGCTTCAGCCAACACGTTGAAGAATCAGTGGGTGTGAATGGGTATTTCATTCTGAATGAATGAATGTTTCATTCTGTTGCAATTCTGACCCCTTTCAATCAGCAAAAATTTCCTTCTTTAAGCTTTTCTCCAGACTAGTTGGGTACATTTACCAAGGCTACACCTTTCCATATGCTCTGTTCTAGTCCTTTTGACTCTTCCAAAAACATAATGCATTACAGAGCAAAAGAGCTCCCTGGGCTCTACTGGGATCCTTATTTGATGGCTGTGATGCATCTTAGTTACCTTCTACAGAGATAAACCAACTCTCTTTGAAGCTGGCCTCATTTATGGGCAGCGGTTACACAAAACAAAACCTCTGTCAACACTGTTACCTGGGTATAAGCCCAAAGCTCTTTGTCCTTTATATTAAATAGAGTATTTAGCTGTCTGTATGGCATTTTCCATGGAAAGCTTTAAGTTTTCACCCTTCTACCTCATTCACTTCTTTCAGGAGAAATCCACAACCAATGGGTATTTCCATAATGGCAATCTGCTAAGCTTGGTGAGCAACTTGTTCACTGCTGGTGTTGAGACCATTTCCACCACACTAAACTGGAGCTTTCTGCTGATGCTAAAATACCCTGAAATTCAGAGTAAGTGGCTTTATGACAGATGCTCTTGAATTCAGCACTTTAAGAACTGAATAGGACCTTTGATGGTTAATGAATCTGTTAAAAAAAGATGAACTTTTCAGTTAATTATTATCTAGGTATGACTACACCCTGTGGTTCAGACCCAGTGAAGGACACATTAGCCAGTCTACACTGTAGATTACTGACAATTTTCGTATGGACTAAGTTCTTTTCTCAGTAAAATCTCGATGATTAGAAAAAAAAGAAAAAAGAAAAAAACAACACACAGAGCTATCCTGTGTTGGGCAATGAAGCTGTTCCAGATTTCTTTCAGAAACACCCTGTGGATAACCAGTGGAAGAGACTTGCACTTTAAAATGCCTGCAAGCATTCAGGGAACTGCTCTTTGCCCAACATCTGCAGAGAGGGACATTTTGCTACCTCTGCCAAGCTGATCTAAAGCTGCTGCCTCCCACCTTCCAGAAAACAACACAGAACCCAGCAGAGAACATGAAATTAAAAAAGAAGTAATTTTACTAGTTCTGTTGTTAATATTTTAATGCAAGGATATATAAGAAAACAGAACTTATATGCACTTGTACACATATATTTAGTTGACAAGGAAAATATGAACTATGAAGAGTCTTCTTCAATTATCCTTATTGGCAAAGAAATTATCAGATACTGTAGTTCTGTTCACCACCCATTATTAAAAGATTTTGGCAGAGTGTGTGGTTTTCACTCCAGATCTTCCACTGTTTTGCATCAGTGCAATGCAGTATGTCTGAGGGGTGAATCATTATCTCTTTCTTGCACTGGTTTCTCTCCTCAGGAAAGGTCCAAGAAGAGATAGATCAAGTGATCGGGTCAAACCCCCCTCGCACTGAGCATCGAACTCAAATGCCATATACAGATGCTGTAATCCATGAAGTTCAGCGGTTTGCTAATATCCTGCCATTGGATTTGCCTCATGAGACTGCTGAAGATGTCACTCTCAGAGGCTATTTCATTCCCAAGGTGAGATGCTTATGGGATTGTTTCTTTTAGCGTTTCTCCAGTCTCAACCTTGGGTAATGTGATGTATATGAACACTTTTGTGAAGCCACACAATGGCAGTCAGAATAATTTCGTTGTCCAGGCTGATTTCTTTATGGCAAAATCTTATTGCCATTACTTCCACTGAAATATTTGACTACAGAATACCTCCACTGTCTCATTTTGCAGGGAACCTACATAATCCCTTTGCTGACCTCTGTCCTGCGAGACAAATCCCAGTGGGAGAAACCAGACATGTTCTATCCTGAGCACTTTCTTGATTCCAAGGGAAAGTTAGTGAAGAAAGATGCTTTCATGCCATTTTCAGCAGGTACCTTCTCATTTTATTTACTGCTGTTGTACCAGTCTTAGGCAGCTCATACCAGTGGTTCTTTGTTATCGAAGCCCCCATACTACCCTTTTCATGGGATCATTGCCCAACTTATATTTCACAACTTTCTCAGGATGTATTTCTGATAATAGGTAGTACTCACAAACGTCTGCTAATTTTTTCAGCCTCTGGTTCTTAGTTTCTCAGTATTTAATCGTTATAAAACAGAACTGGTAGTGACTTCTTAACTGTGAAGGAGGTTTTCAGTAAATTTCCTGAATGTTTAGATAACACATTTCTGCATTACAAACACAATCTGCTCTACAATATGTGAATCTTTGGCTCTACCTCTTCCCATACACAGCTGCATTTCTGGCCATATATATCCTATACATACAAAGCATCAAGGAAACGTGGATTCTGTACATTTTCCTGGGGCACCAAGTTTAACTTTTTAATGTCCCTTTTCAAGAGTCCTCATTAGTCCCAGCTGATCAGGTCTTCTGAAGCTGTGACAACAAACAAGGGTCACATTATGTTAATACCTAAGTTCCTTTAAATAACAAAGGATGTGAAGTGGCTGCCATTGAGTCTCCTACAGAGAGCGACGATCTCCTCATCTTACATACCCGCATCCTTTTCCAGAGCACAGGATATTCCTGCTCTCACAGTGATGCTCCTTTTCTGACATTTCTACTGTTTTTCAGGCTCTGTCATTGTTCAGTTAAGTTCCCATAATCAATTTCTGGCCAGCATTTCCACAATACTCTGCACTTTTTATAGGCCTTGTATATATTTTGTGTGACATTTGAATATGCTTTTTCTCATCATACTCAACATCCAATATAAGGTAAAACCCATTTTTTTTTTGTGAAAGAATGTCTGATATTCCCAATTCACTAACCTTCCTTATCAGATTCAAGTCTAAACATCCCCACTGAAATCACATCCATGAGATCTGGGCATTCCCTGGAAGGCTTGGTTCATAGCACAGCCACGCCATAGTGTCTCATTTTCTTCCTTGTCAAACAGGGGAGTTAAAATCAAATCTTAGTTCAGACTATTATTAGTTCTGGCCTTGAACTATCATTAAGAAATTTAGAAGTTGCTGAATTTGACCAGGATTGAAAAAAAATTACATTCACAACAGTTCTAAAAGGAGGCTTATGTTAAGTGTTCCACAGACCATCTCCACCCTCTCGCAGCTCTGTCCTGGCATAACCAACATTTGTGAGTTTTCTGAGGTCTTTCCTGTCAAAATATAACATTAAAAATTGCCTGTGATAAGGCTAAGCTCGCCAAAATCTGGACAAAACCAGTCACAGTTGGTTCAGGAACCAAAACTAAATCCCTACTGGAGAAAAAGAGCACATATTTTGTTTAAAACTGGAGTTCAGAAATTTAGATTGTATTTCCATGTATCCCCAAATACAAGCATACAACCAACCCGCTTTAGGAAAAGAAAATAATCACTAAGTGGCTTTATAATTACTCCTTTAAGACCAAATATCTGAGTACCTCTCTCATGCTCCCATGTACTTCTGAGTGTTGCTTTGTCTTTTGTTCATATTTGGGACACGGCATTTCAAGTCTCTGTTCTTCCCCACTATAAAAGGTGCTGAGAGATGTTTGATATCTTCCAATCACTGAATATCAGCTCCAGCTGATTCTGTTCCCACACATTCTGCATGTCTTTGCAGGACGGAGGATCTGTGCTGGTGAGACTCTTGCCAAAATGGAGCTCTTCCTCTTCTTCACCAGCCTCCTGCAGAGGTTCACCTTCCAGCCTCCTCCTGGAGTTTCCTCTTCAGACCTGGACCTCAGCCCTGCTGTTTCATTTAACGTTGTCCCCAAACCCTATAAAATCTGTGCTGTAGCACGCTCTTAGGGCTCAAATCAGCATCAATTCGATGTGAAAATGTCTTGACTTTTTCATGGCTTCCTTTGGCAAAAAATATTCGCAACACTGCATCGTAATGAAAACCTTCAGCACATCTAAACCAAAATGTTGTTTTATTTTTTATTTAGAATCATAGAATCACAAGGTTGGAAAGCATCTACGAGATCACCTAGTCCAATTGTTCTCTCATTACCTTTACTACCACAAGCTACTGAACAATAAAAGAAGTCCACTCACTGTGAAAGGGGACTTGTTGTGGACCAGAATTATCAGTGACTCAAGGATCAACCTAACTGATTGCCTAATCTGGGCTAAATAATAGAGAAACTTTATTTCTTCTTCTGCCTCTGAATTGTAAACATTAACTGACATGTATGAAAATACAGGGCAGGTTCCACAGAAGGCAAAGTTTGAAAAAGGATTTGACAATGGAACAGGTATCAAAAGTCAGTGAGAACAGCTTTAGAAAATGAAAGATGTTATCTTGTTTCCTCAGCGTAGTCCAAGCAAATAAGATGTTTGCCTTTCTACCACATATTCGCCTTTAAATAAAACACCTCTGCAGTATAAGAAATCCAGTGTAACAAGAAATCACAGAACCATCAGCATCAGAAAAGACCTCCAACATCATCCAGTCCAACCATCTACATGCCACCATTTCCCCGCTAAACCATGTCTCTTAGTGCAACATCCAAATGTTTCTTGAACACCTCCAGGGACAGGGACCTCACCACACACCTGGGCAGCCGATTCCAGCACCAGACCACTCTTCTGAAGATTTTTCCTAAGGTCAAACCTGAATCTCCCCTGGCGCAACTTGAGGCTATTCCTTCTCATCGTACCACTGATTGTATGGAAACAGAGGCCAAACCCCATGTTGCCACAACCTCCTTTCAAGGTTCTAGGGACTGTGATAAGATCTCCCTCGAGCCTCCGCTTCTATAGATTAAACAATCATAGAATGGTTTGAGTTGGACGGGACCTTTGAGATCACCCACTTCCAACCCCCTGCTGTAGGCAGGGACACCTCCCTCTAGACCGGGTTGCTCACAGTCCCATCTAGCCGGGCCTTGAGTGTTTCCAGGGTTATGTTTGGCCTTCCATTGCTAGCTCATGTGAATCTTGCATTAACTGACACCCCCAAATCCTTCTCCTCAAGGCTGCTCTTAAGCCATTCTCTGCCCAACCTCAGTCTGTGCTTGGGATTGCCCTGACGCAGGACCTTGCACTTAGCCCTGTGAAACTTCATGAGGTTGGCATTACTTCTTGTTTACCTTCATGACCCTGGCTAAGTTTAATTCTGCCTGGGTTGTAGCTTTCCTAACCTAATCCCTGGCTGCTCAGATGACTTCTCTGTAGCTCTCAGTGACTCCTCATAAGACTTGTTCTCCAGATCCCTCGCAGCTTTGTTGGCCTTCTCTGAACACAGTCCAGGGCCTCCATGTTTTCTTCTAGTGAAGAGCTAAAAACTGAACACAGCACTTGAGGTACATCCTCACCAGACTGAGTACAGAAGGACAATCACCTCCTGCTCCTGCTGATTGCACTATTTCTGATACAAGCCAGGATGCCAGTTGGCCTTCTTGGCCACCTGGGCACACTGCTGGCTCACGTTCAGCTGAGTATCAGTTAACAACCCAGGTCAGTTTCTTCCACACAGTCTTCCAGCCACTCTGCCCCAAACCTGTAGAGTTGCCTAAGGTGGATGTGACCAAAGTTCAGGACCTGGCCCTTGGTCTTGTTGACCTCCATCCCACTAGCTATCCAGACTATCCATACCCCAATCTTGAATATCTTACAAATGAAGTGTCTGAAGGCATAATGAGATAACCGAAGGCACGATCTCAGTGCTTGAAGGAGCAGGAGATTATACAATTAAACTGTGTTTTTCCTGAGAGCGCACTTTCACATAACATAAGTCAGTGACTGCTAGCCATCAAAAGGGCCACAGTTGTAATTATGACAGTACTTCATCTATTGGACACTTTGGGTACAGCTGTCTAAGAAAAATCTCACCTTGAGAAGAAACACAAAATCTTCTTCCACCACATGATGACATTTGCATCTGTAGAGCAGCTACTCATCTTCTGCGGTGATGGAAGACTTGCAACACTACAGCCCTGTACATTTTTTTCATTAATATAGATGCATCCTGCATGTCTACCACAGATAGAGAAGAAATTAAGTTGTTTACTTGGGGTACAACATTACTGCTCAGGAAAAATCTTAATCCAAGTTGACCTCAGTCCAGAAATCCAAGATCATTCCTGAATTTTCTGTAGCTATAAAACCTCGGTAAACACAGCACACAACCCTGGCAAATATCTGCTGCTTTTGCAATGCACTTTCTCACTCAAATATTGCATGTACACCTACTACAAATTCCAGCTGGCAGAGGCCTCCCACCTCCTAGTGATGGTAAGAGGAAGTGGGAATAGGCTGAGAGCAAAACGTAAACCCTGGTCAACCCCACTTCACACTTTGCTCTCCCCCAGCAGAGTGGAGCTGAGCAGTACTCATGGCTCAGGGCTGCCACCCAGACACATCAGGACCCTTTGGCCTTGTGCTATTGCAGAGAACATTGCTGCTTGCTGAGCCATCACCAAGAAGTGCATAGGGGAATTTTCCCCTGTATAAGGGAAAGACAGCTCTGCACGCTTTTTGCTTTTCCTGACTCATCCGTTGACAAAGCAAAACAAAAAGTTTACGGAATTGATACTGCAAAGAGAATTTTTCCCCAAACAAAAGCATATACTAGCAGAAACCTGTTAGATGCAGAAACCTATGGCAGATGGGAAGACTGGTATATCCCAACAGCCATCACTAATCAACTCACACAGCTGCTGCCAGCAGACTGAGGGATGGAAAAACAATGGCACTGACCAAGACACAGAGGCAACCTGCCCCCCATGTCAGAGAAGAGGTACATTAACAAAGCAAATTGCTGAAGCTCAGACTGCTCAACTCAACACCTTGGTGTTAAGAAAATACCTTTCAGCATTCATTTTACCAAATAGGAATCAACTCTTTGAAAGGGTTGATAACTGCAGGACAAGGGGAAATGGTTTGGAGTTGAAGGAGGGCAGCTGGAGGTTGGATGTCAGGGAGAAGTTGTGTGCTGTGAGAGTGGTGAGGTGCTGGAACAGCTGCCCAGAGAGGCTGTGATGCCCCGTCCATCCCTGGAGGTGTTCAAGGCCAGGTTGGATGAGCACAAGGTAGAGCTGATATGGAATACGGATTTATATTCTTGCAGTATCTCAACAAATCTGAGGCTTGTAGCTCACCCACCTGAAGCTAATATTTGTGAAACTGAAGTTTCAGTTACTTCCAGGTGCTACAGAAGCAACTTGGGATATTCTGCTTGGTTGCAGGAAACAGGACAGGAAAGGATAGATTTGCAAAGCTTTTACAAGTTTCATTATTATTGTGAGACCCCTCTCCTGCATCAGGGAAATAAAGGAGAGACTTCCCTCATTAAAATTTGCAGCATCTTATAAACACTGTACAATTATGTCAGTAAGCAGAGTTATCCAAAGTATTTAGAAACATTTATAATCTGGTTTTCCTTCTAAGTGTAGGAGAAGAAATTATGAGACGATTGTCTCAGGTTTTATTAAGAGTTTCAGTAGCTAGTAAGCAACAGAACAAGCATCTGTGTGGTAAGTCAGTGTAAAGAGCACTGTGTTCCAGCTGACAGTTTGGCTAGAGAAAGCCCTATTTAATAACTCAACCACTTCCAATAGAAACTCTACCCTGGAAAAAAAATACAGGAGATGAAAGGACATGTGAAAACGGATGTTTGACTTCATTTTCTTTCTATAAAGCTGGAAAATAACTGGCAATGAATGAAATGAGGTGAGCACAACCTGCAACTTAAAAAATTTCTCAAATCATGAGCATAAACAACATAGAAGTGTGTTTTTAGAAGCACTGAATATGAAAATGTAAATATAAATGAATAATTTCTACCAATTCAGCAGGAATTTTAATCTCCTGCCATGGAGATGATTTTAGGTTACTTTTAAACAAAAAGTTGATAAGGAGACTTGTAACCGAGTATGAGATAAACATATTTGTACTACATTTCAGGTTTAAAGATGGACTTAATCCCAAAATAAGCGTTAGTTGCCACCTTCCTCCCTCCCTTCACATGGGACAACAGATTTCAACATTAAAAGAAGCCATAATACGTCAAAGAAAATAAAATGCAGATACAAATTTACAGCTTGGATTATATTCAGCAGCACAACAGTAAAGCCATTAAGAACAGAAGTGCCATTTCCATGACCCAGTACGGTGTCCCACTGTACCACAGAGTGCACTGGCATAAATCTTGTTTCAGAGAAGACTCCAAATGTTTAAGTTTCTCAAACAAAGTCCACCTTCTCATAGATCTTTTCAATGAAGGTCAACATATTCCTCATGTCAGCTGACTGCTGAATGGTGTTCATATCCTCTAAAAGACCCTTCTGATTTTCTACCATCAAAATCTCTTCCTGAAAAGAATAGTAGGCAATAAAAAACTGATTGAGTCCAAAAGGAATTTCAATCCATCACTCTTTCATGATGGATTGAAAATCTATTATTTTTAGATACAGCTAAAAATAATAGAGATTCAAAGGCACAGAATGAGATAGGCTTCCTTCCATCCATAGATATGCACCAGAAATGATTACAGGCTCCCTAAGACCGTAGGGTTCCAAAGACACAACAGGTATTCCTTTAAGTGGCATGTTTTTAAGGGCTTTGTTCTGTTTTTAAAACACAGCTATATGTTCTGAACAAAAAAGAAAGAAAAAGAAAAATCCTTCTGCTAGACTGGCCTTTCTGGCACTGGTTAAGTGATAAACAAACTTTTGCCTTCCTTCTCTTGATCAAATTGCCTCTGAAAATATACTCCATGCTCACCTGCAAAGTGGATGCCTGTAAACTGCATTTGGGGAGTTCTGGAAGGTGAAGTTCTTTAGTGTCACCTTCCCTGAACAGCTAGAAGGGAAAAATAAACAAGACAAATAAGGACAAACAAATATCAA